CACCCGGGGATAAGGCGGGGGGTGGGTGCGGGGNGGGGGGGGGGGGGGGGGGGGGGGGGGGGAGCGGAGGCGAGCTCTTTCGACATTTCGCTGCTGTTTCGCTACAATGATCAAGGATTCTAAATCCCACCCCGTACCCTGTCAAGTATCCAACCTCGCTCCCAGGGCTTTACCTTTAGAGACTGGGCAAGTCTCCCGTTTTGCGCTGGCGTCCAGTGCTCTCGCGATTCTATCCACGCTTTCAACGATCGAATAGAAATACGAGAAAATAGAGGGCTGTGAACAGTCTAGTGTTGTGATAACCAGGAGTTATTTTAGGTAATTGATCTCCATTGATTCCCTTTACTACCACTGCCAGAAACATAGTTTTCGCATGGCCGGGCCTGTTTCCTCTCACTGCTGCGGCCCTGCGGCAATTTTCCTCAGAAGGAACAAAAACAGCTTGCGCCATTTCAATGAGTTCAGTCGCCTCTACTGATCCGAACAACACGAGAGCTCGAGAGCTCGCCCAAACTGAAATGCGTTGTAATATTTACCCATGCTTCATTTCAGACCATGTCCAGCCTATTCCTTTTATAAGAAAGTTACGGTTAAAAGTTAAAAGGGAAAACAAAAGTCAATGTTGTCTAGTAATTCTAGGCAATTATATAATGCTCATATAGGCTGATAAATGGCGAGCTAGCTAGTTAGTAAACTATTTCAAATGCTCACAATCAGGACAGATGGGCTAAGAAACCTGTCACACATACAGGCTTTCATTTATCGCAACAGACCGAAGTAGCAAGATTCAGACAGGATGTGCACGAGGGCGGTAAATCAGATTTCTTCGTCTATATTTAACCAACCCGAAGCTAGCGGTTGGACGCATTAAAAAGTATCTATCAGTTACCGCCGATATTCAATTAGTCAATTAACTTCGTAGAGCAATTAGCACTGTGCGGACTGGTTGTACTTCCCGTGTGGCCGGTTGAGATTAAACTTCTTCTCATGTACCATTTGATTTCCACGAGCATTCGATTCGTTCTCCAATTCCGGTTGAGCAAAGTTCAATAGTGGGAAAGCTTTTGGGCTGCAAAACCACTCAATGATAATAGTTTCCTCACGCGCTTGTATGAAAGAGTTAAGAAGGTTGGACTTCAGATTGTAGGGCAAACTGATACCCCGAGCGGTCCGAATTTGCATTTACGAACTGCTAAGACTGAAGGACCGCTCGTGGATTGTCTCTGAATTTGTTTTATGAAAAATAAGAACAAAGTAAAACTGCTTTCTAGTTAAAGAAACTTCAGATCTTCCCTTCATGCGCAAAGAATACGAGAAAGTGCCCTAAAAACTGAAATTTTTCTCTCTAATGCGTGTAATGGGCCCGGGTGAGGGGTGAAGCCGGTTTGAATACGTTTTTTGTCGAAATGCTGTTATTTATAATTCCTTTTCTGACTGCATGTGAGTCTGACCATAAAGTGCCGAGAACGTGACCTTTAAACAGAATGCTCAAGTTAGGGAAATTCGCCTACTTAAAATGCAAAATGAGTTTTGGAATTTGGAATCGCTTGGGATTTCTTAACAAACCGTTATAGAATGCTCTCAAGAGGGTTGAATAGGACTTACAATCCAAAATCTGTGAAAATTTCAGACAGCTGGTCATTTAGTCAATTTTTAAAAGACCACCTAACATGTTAAAGACCGTTTCAGACTACCAGACGTATTGTTAATCTACTTAAAAATGTGCTCAGTCCATATTGGAGAATAGTAATAGTCTGGACCAATATCCATTTCGAAACTTCTAGCTCATTGACATCTAAGCTTCCTCGGTTTGGTTAGTGCGCGAGAAAAACTAGCATGGGATATATGGCATATGAAGCAAAGGGTACGGTATGGATAGATGGAAATGTCTGTCATGTCCCGCCTTCGGCCTAATCCCGGGAATAAGACTAGGGCCAAGTGATGACTCACATTTCAGGCTACTATAACTGACGCTCACTATGTTTAGAATAAGATGGCATGTAATCCGAAAGGACAACTAAGCGATGCTTGGATGTCTTTTCGATGACGTATGGAGCTAACAACATTGTGACATACGTGCACGTGTTGTTTCGGGATTGGTAGAGAGACCTAAGGTATAAAGACGGATCGATTTTGGCCTCGCTGAAAAAAAAAACGAGACTGCGCGTTCCATNGAGACATGTCTGACATTTCAGGCTACAGTTATAGTAACTAGCCACGAATTCTAGTCTCTGAAAAAAGAAAACATTACGACAGCGCCTCGCAGTCTTGATTTCACTCTGTCCTTGAACTCCGCTCTCACGCTTCAGCATTCTACACTCTCTCCATACCATTTAAAAAAATAATCCGTTCGTTTTTTTCCTAGTTCATTTTAGCTGATTAGATCCTCTACAATAAAAGGAACCTGTTATTCTTCTACTTTGTTACGGCGGTCCACGTTATGTTTTACCCCAGTGTTGCCACTTTTGTTTCGCAGTGTTGGCCATCTTGTTTATCATAAGCTATCATACAGGGACTTTCTAGTACACGGCACGCCATTGGGGTTACAGCATCTGTACTATGAAGTCTTTTTATAACTCGAGTGCGTTCTATACTTCTGCACAATCTACTGCAGTTGCAGACTGCAGTAAGTTCTAGGCTTACTACCTCAGTTCAGCCAAAATACTATCGACGAGTTTTTACACCAGCAGCCAAATATATACTAGGAAATTATTTTAACAGTTGTCTGATCCGACTGGAGACAAGATCAAGGTAGGTGAAGGCGGATTATCCGTCTGAAACGCATTAGGTCGTCTAGAAAACTCCTAAATTCGTTTCTTAGACGATTCAAGGAGCGTAATACGTTTGTGCTTGATCCGCCTACGAAGAGAATGGGTTTATGTTTTCTCGAAAGGTACCCAGTGCTGCTAATAGCAACAAATTGTTTTTATATGACTCCGGGCGGTTTCATGATAATAATAGAGACCTTAAAATCCACGTTTACCGCAAATGTCTAACTGCGGTTTAAGGTTAATTCGACGTTTTCAGTTCACCGTTCGGACGCTAGTCGATTTAGATAGGAGTAAATTGGAGCGAATAGAAATCACCCTGTCAATGCATTGGAAATTGTTAAAACTATATACGCCCCCAAAAAGAAAAAAAAAATTGTATGTTTTCTAGCATGTGTAACTTTCTAAGGAAATAAGCGACCCGCAGCTCGACGCTCTGGACGAGGACTGACCTGAAAATCTTGGTTCCGGTTTCATTAAGCGCATGCGTTCAAGTTCAATAACGGTACGTCTCCGAACATACGAGCGTAACAGAGCGTAACCATTGTGACTAACGCTAACTCGCTTTCAAGATCTTATTTTCTTGGTGATAACCGAAGCGCCGCCTCTGAGAACAAGATTGCATTGTGATCAGTCAACTAGACTGGTTTCCTGATGATGCAACTGATAATGATCGAAGATAATAATATTTTTCCCGTCATATAAAAATGCTGGCTATTATAAAACGTTTGAAGTCATTTCAGTGGCTACGTACAAAATTACCTTTAAATTGAAGAAAACCTGAAAATAGTAGATTACTAAAATAGAAAAACATCAAAGAGATATTAAAAATTCGTAAAGGAGCAAGTATAATTAAAGGGAAACTGACAGCAAAATTGATGCATCTTTTCTAAACTTTTAAGGCGCGCAAACCATGACGTAGCCTCTTCAAAGTTTTTTCCCTGAGCAGAAAGTAAACATTTGATGACCTGTAAAATAAAGACTTGAGTAGCAACTTGCTCGTCGCACGCGGCGGAGTGAAACAAAAATGCACTGCCGCCATCTTCAAATCAATTCTTCGCGAAACTGCGATTAAGGATGGCAGTAGAATCTCTGGCTTATATTGAACATTTTGAGTTCTCTAAAAAAAAACCTGAAACTCACTCATGCATGGAGAGCAACGTACAACTGTAAAAGCATGCACTCCACGCTCTCTGTTTAAATAATAAAAAATAATTGGAAACACTTCTTTATATGTTTTCAAGGCTACGATTGAATCGCCACGTTTTTTGACAACTGGTCATGCGAATTCAGTGTGGTCTTTTTCATGGTAACTCCTAAAAGTTGTATGGTGACAATGAAAGCACCTTTATTCGCTTGGTAACCATAGGTGCTAGGCTTTTACTGAAATCTGTCGAAAACATTTTTACAGCTATCAGCAACCTGTTATGGAAAAAAAAATAATGACTTCTTCCCATTTGCACACCTCTCTTTTGTTTTCAGAGAAGAGAAAGCCCGCCCACTGCTAAGGTCACCAGTGACAATGGCCGATGATTGAGCAATAATGAATTATTTACCAAATACTAAAATCTGGGAATTACGAGCATTTCCAAGGTGATGATACGACAAGCGTGTTTTACATGAGGTGATGCCACGTTTTAAACAAATTCTCTAGTTAACCTCTTTTGTAGTCCGTTGGTTCAAATACCAAGAGAAAACAATATAGACTTGTAGCGGAAGTAATAATATTACTTAACTTTTATTATTAAACCGAGCAAGAGGTCTTTTGGGGGAGAATCTTGACCGAGGTCGTAAGAACAGACGGGACCGAACGCAGTGAGGTCTGTACAAACGACCGAAGTCAAGATTCTCCCATACAGACCGACTGAGCTCGGTTAATAAGATGTTTATTATATGGCAAACAAGAACAACTTAATTCGTTTAATGTAGCTGGTTTGTACTAACTGACATTTTACTTGCGAACGGCGATGAGCTGAATTTAATTCTGCCAAAGTTTGCTCGTCCGCTTTACTCTTTTTTTCTCATTAGGCTTTTTGGCACTTCCATAAATAAATATTGTTAGAAGAAAACAGTCACTTTTTTTTTGCATTTTAGTTTGCAACTTTTTCACCGCAAAACATTACCGGTCTGGATGCCGGTCTAAATGGGAAAATTTTAATCCGGACCGCTTTCAATATCGATTTCAGCCAATCATATGCGTGAATTCGGTAGTTCCCAGTCCTTGTGAGACACAGTCATATAATAAAGTACAGTCTAACTGTATCGTTTACGACAGCCGTAGAAGTCGTAGAACAGAGGACAGAGCAAGCACGAAACTTATGCCAGTAATGTATGCGCAAGCTACAGAAAAAAATACACCTAGGACATTCCTAACTTTCCCTTTATCTGCCGATTGCTTCAATGAGCCGCTACTCGACAGCGAACAGTTCAGAACGACTACCGCGCGCGCGCGTGGGAGATTTTGTCCCATTTGCGCGCGCGAGAGCTTGAGTGCGCGCGAGTTTTTCTTTCCACTTCCTGCTTCCTCTTGACCTCCTTACAGCTTGCCAAGCAGAGGCTTGCTCACAGTTTATCCATTTAGGCGCCCTGGTTTATCTCAATGTACACCGGCGCGTCTCACAGCTTATGTACAACAGTAAGTTGTATTTCCTTCTCTTTGCTCAGCAGTTTTAGTTCAGGTTAGATGAAGTGCTTGTCGAGAGAAATCTCTTGATCCCTTGTAAAGACCATGTTATCTTGGGATTTTGTGTGATCGTGTAGTGAATATTTATGGAATCTCTCGAAAGTTTGCACTCACGTGAATGATCTAAGTAAGATGAGGGATTAGTTTAAACTGATGGGCTGTGCGACTAATAAGGAAAGCTGTTCATATACTGAAATTCGCGCGCGTTCTCTGATAAACCCATTCGTGTTCTTAACTGTGAAGCTGTTGCCTGCGCTACTAGCATTTATAGTTTTGTGCTTATTTTGTATGTGGCCTTATTTGTTGTCGAAATACAGTTAGTTTGTACCATGTTATTGTTATTACATTACTCTATATTGTTATCCTGCTGCAGCAGGTATTAGTAAAATACAAAGTGGTAAATTTAATCAGTTATGTCTGTTCGCCATTGTTTTCTTTTGTTTTGACTTGCAAAAATTCGCAAACATTAATCGAATTCGACATGAAAACAAAAGATCACCTGGAAAAAATATTCAAGCTTGTACAAGCAGGGTTTGGTTCATTAATTTTAACCTGAATAACAATCAATTTCTTTTCAGTAAACGGTACAAAACGGTATAAACATTTCGGTGAGAGGCAGTCTGACTTCTTAGAGAAGTATTTACCACTATTTTTTTGGTCGACGGTTTTGCTAGTTCCTGTTTTTCATAAGTACTGTGATATATGGCCGCACGGAGCTTTGTTTACTACGATATTCATTCAGTGGTAATGTAAACTAAAACCAGCAGTGCTTAGCACTTCCATCAAGCGCCCAGCAGTGATTGTCTTCGTCTCTTGTGTTCAGTACTCGAGACCGGATGTTGATGTAAACGGCTCATTGAGGAACTTGGCGATGTTCTCCTGGACTATTTTCGGCAACACCAAAAATAAATTCACAGACAGCAACCCCTAATTAACTTTACTATTCGAGGAAAAAGATGTTTCAAAACCTCGAGCCGCAAAGATACATTGAATGACCTAATGATCTGCAGTATCCGTTAGTACTGTTTATGACTGTCTCATGTTTCTACATCGACCTAGTTTGTCCAAAGACCCTCTATTTTGTCTCTACAACCAGGAAACTTTGCCTATAAATTGAGGATCTGCGGGCAGAAACAACCCTCTATAAAGAAATCAGCGCGATTAAACCAAAGAGACAACTATAATTTGGATTTGTGCGCGGAAAAAAAATTCACGTCACGTCGCAGATGCCGAGATGATCCTAGCTGTAAAGGAAAGATCTCTTAGGCCCAGTTCAGACGTCGTGCTTCTGCCGTGCCGAATTAAATTCAGGAATTAAGTTCGACAAAAGCACGGCAGAAGCACGGCGTCTGAATCAAACTTTTGAATTAAGTTCGGCAAGCAATTAAGTTCGACAAGCTC